GCGTGGAAGTGAAAGAAGCAGTAGAAGGGCGCTTCGCTTGATGTCCGACACTCCTATTGGGCCAGAGCAGTTGCCAGGAGCCCTTCCATGGCTTCGGCGAAAAAGAACAAACTTCAGAATCTCTCTAAACACTGGTAGAGACGACCCCGTCACATTTTGTCTACTTTTCAATGCGTTTTGACATGCGACCTGTTCACCACAATCTCGGGGTGAGCGCCGGGGCAGTGGTGGGAACAGCGTCCTTGAAAAAGCCCTATTAGCAAACTTGCACACAATGCAACACGTAAATTCAATCATTTTTACAATGATATACTCAGTATACTAGTACTTGAGTAGTTTGTCAACCACTTGAGACAGTGAGTACTGCATTGGTATACATTTACATTGTCATGTAAATTGGTAACAGGTGACCGATCATTTGACAGTTCTATAATTATTATTATTGAATGCATGTACATGTACACGTAATTTCAAACTCTTATCTGCTCAAGCCGTCCATGTTGACTTGCACCTTGACTTTCGATAGCTTCGTATCACTGTCGACTGTCTGGCATCTTGTAATATTTCCCCAAAAAAAAGATTCAGAGGATTCCCTACCGCCTGGCTCGCATTCCATCACACCGACTGCATTCTCCTGGCGGCAGGGCACCTGTAGTATGATTCTACTCCACTTAAAAGTTCAAAGGACCGAGAAGAAGCCTTCCTTCTCATATTGACTGATACACACTGTGACAGTACAGACTGATCCAGGCCAAAACTGTCACAAAACAGAAACAAACAAATCAAAAAATAACAATTTAAAAATTAATGACAAAACAAAAAGTCGCAGCAGACAAACCCCTGGCGTGACCCCAATTCTCCTGGGTTTCACTTCAAATATGTCCGATTTACGTTCCGAATTGCCCTCTAAATTACGAAAATGGCGACTCTTTGCACGGGTAAAACTGAACTGCATGCACTGATCGCGCTCGCACTTCACTGCAGCTACAACTGGCTCAACACTAGACAACAGTGATATTCTTGGGAGTAAATTGTTGCTGGCCGCTGGGTCGTCTTTGGAGCTCTCTTCCTATTTATCGAAGTGTATAACTGATTCTATACGACAATGAGAGGACAGTGGAGAGACGCAGGTGTCAAGTAAGGCCGCTATGAACTCCTCTGTGAGAGATTTGTTGAGATCAGGGAAGACGTTGCTCGTGTTTATGTTTTTTTTACTCATCAGCTACCTGAAATTCTCAGAGATCTGTGCCAAGGCCGTAAGACGGGCATTGAAGCCAGAGTTCCAACAGGCAGCTATGAAGCGCGAGAGCGCTGGTTCGGGTATCAGGGCTACTGCATGGACTGGTGGAAAGGCAGGCCAAGCTAGTGAGTACTTTTTCTTTCGATTCATGCTCAAATTTGTATAAAATTTTATTAATGATAAATTTTTGTAGGGGCGGTGGTGTGTGTGTGTGTGTGTGTGTGTGTGTGTGTGTGTGTGTGTGTGTGTGTGTGTGGCATGACAAAAGCACAGCAGTCTATCTCGTGCTGATATTTCCGCTATCGTGCACATGTACAAAATGACTGACATGCACGATCACGATTATCTACTGACGCTCTGCACCTTGTATGGCTCTGGCCGTGGAGCAGTTTCAGAAAACACGCCAGCCGTCCCTCAGCATTGCATGTCGTGTGTGTTGCTGCACCTGGTGTGAGTGTGACGACGTATGGACCTTGTCACTGCACATAGTGCAGATATCTTGATCCACTCTGCACTGATTGAAGCTTTCGTAGCCGCCACTGTTAGCCGTTCTGGTGTGAAGATTGGCCCTCGATTCACCAGTGTGTAGCTTTGTAGGTGCTCATCCGGCTCCAACTAGATCTCAGCTCACCGTCGAATCATTACCTCTTTGTACGAATTCTGTGGATTCACCGGTCGCTTTTGCCTCACAGCATCGCGTCATGAATGTAGGCCTGTTTTATGATCCAGCCCAGGGTATGAATGTTGGCTTTCTTGCTAAGCCTTGTATTTCATACATTATATCTGTCTCTTCCACAACGCACATTAGAATTCGCGCAACCTGACGCGATTCCAGACAGCAAATGAAGGTAGTTATGAGCCGAAACTTATTGTTTTTCTGACCTCTAAAACGTGTTTGATATTGTACATTCAGGATCCGGGCTGATTTTTGTGTGGGGTGAATGCCCTGTCCCACTTGGTTTGGTGGTGTAGCGTTTGTGTTTTCTATTAGAGTTGAAGTTAGCAGGGTGCTGAATATCATTTGCACTGTGCATAAACCTCCTTAAAACTTCAACAACGCCCATCCCCTTGATGTCCTTGAAAGATGTTCTGTGGATTTGAATTTTTGATTATAATTATTATACTATTGTGTGGCAATGACATGTGAGAAATTGATGTCTGTTGATTCATGAACATCCAGCTTTATACAGCTGTACTTGTATTGGCTTGGTTTCTTACTGTGATGACATGAGTGTGATCGTTGGGGAGTCTCACCTTGTGTGCTTTCATATTTGAAATAATGTTGGTCTAAAGACACGAAATAGAGGTAGTGATTTCGTCAGTGAAAGAGGAACTGTGTGTCACTCTCTACATGGAAGCTTGTGCTTCTCCCGCCGACTTGATTTGACACTTGGGGACCTGGAGGGGCTGTGGGTATACATGTTACGTGACAATCAGCTCATGCGATAACATTGCACGACACTGACAAACGGTACTGACGTTCTACAACTAACCACCACTCAGCTCTAGCATGTCTTGGATGCGCACTCCAACAACCTTCCAACTAATTACTTGCAAGGTTCGAAGTTATAGAAATCGCATGAGCTGATTGTGAAGTAACTGGTAGTGTTAGTGGACATTATAACATACTAGTTACTTGTAGTTCCTGGGTCCTTTTTCTTCCTACTACAGTATAGACTAATCCTTGGCTCTCCATCCGAGTCTTAACAATTTGAAAATATGACTTTTTGTTTCCAGCTACCCTAAAAGACCATGTTCTTGTGTTGGCAAGATTACGGTAACATTCTATTTTTTGGATTCAACTTGAAGTTTGATCTGTTTCTGTCAGATGAAGTTATTGTGATCTTGAAGTGATGAAAATTTAAAATGCTAACTCAAAGTTGCACGCATGGCATTGCCAGAGTGTGTCCCACTCCTCAATTGTGCTGATGATCTTTGTGTTCTGTGTACTGTGTGTGCGCGTGCGTCTGCTTTGTCCTGCAGAGTCCGCTAATCAGACAGCTGAGTAAGACTGCTCCCATCATCTGAATGTAGACATCTGCCCCCAACATGTTCTCCATTTTTAATTCATCCTCCATAATCTGGTTCTCTGGCCTGTACGTGTGAATGCTATATTCTACTGCTAGTAGTCAAAATTCATAGTAGACTGCTCACGCACCTTTTTTGAGATGTTAATTATTCCAGCAAGCAAGCGTGCACCTTTCAGCTGTACAGCTTGTGGGTATCAACTGCCCGTACTTTTCAAAATACTAGTGCTTTGCTATCCTGTTGTGACTTGGCGAGTGGCTGTGCCTCGGGGCTGGGTTAAGGCTCTGTGTACGGTGGGAACGAAATTAGGTGGGTGTTTACATTAAGAGGTTTGGCCTGGGTGGATTGCTGGTATGCCGACGAAAAGTCTATTTCTAGTGTCCTGAGCGGTCCCGTCACTACCTAGGTTGGAAGTTAGTCTGCGCAGTGCTGTGCAAAATATGCACATACATGTAGGTACGGTAGTACAATTTGAATTACACAGCCCTGGTCAAGTGGAGCGTAAGGATCGCTTTCTGCTTTCTGGCTGGGGTCGGGCCGGGAGGATGAGTAATAGCAAGAGTAGATAAACAAGAGTGTGCAACTCCGGATCTCTCCTGCACAATCTGCAGATACCCCGCCCACGGCGGAATTTTTTCTTTACGTCCCCTTTTTTCAGAGAAACGCGGATTCTGCCACAGAGCAGTGTGAGAGCACGTGCTGGGCACCGACCTTGTAGTGTAAAGCCCATGGCCCAGCCAAGTGCACGAGGGAAAACTCTCCAAAAGGCTCGCAGCGCGTGCGTCGTCGAAAAGATTACGTCAACAAAAAATTCCGCCGTGGGCCACCCCATCCGCGAGTTGCACACTCTTGTTTATCTACTCTTGGTAATAGGGAGGTTTCGCTCTCCGGAATTACGTATGAAAATAACGTAGAAACTGCACGGAATTTTCATACCAGGGAGTCGTATTTTACGACTCCCTGTTTCATACGTAAAAAATAAGAGCTGCTGGGTTTCGCTCTACGTGATTTATCCACGACTGCTAAACACGCGTTGTTGCTTTGGAGACACGGCTGCATGCGTCCACCGCATGAACCGAAACCGCGTTTTCCATCTTATTTTGCACGTGGTGTACGGTGTGTGTACCTTGTGTTTCGCGCGGCTTGAACGTTGCCATGGACAAATGCGAAAAATATTTCAAAAAGTCCTACGGAGGACCCAACGTAGGAAAGAGCTTTCCTACGGAAATCCGTAGGGAGATTTACGTATGAAAGCTGCCCTCGCTTCCCGGCGCGTACGACATACGGATTTTCATACGTAATTACGTAGAGCGAAACCTCCCTAATATCACAGCAAACGTGTGATTTTTTAATCTACTGGTGTGCACGAGAATGGTGTTGGATCGGTGAATTTATGCAATGCAATGTGAAGACGGAACGAACGTAAACGTGTCGTTCTTCCTGCAAACGGCGTTTTTCGAGTATCGGCCTAAAACGCTCAGGTCAATCTGTGTTCATGACGGGTTGAAAACTCTCATGTAAACGCAGCTTGAAGTAGCCTTGACGAGGCCACAAAAGAAAAGAAAATCACACATGTAAATCGAGTCGGGATGCGCAGTCTACTCTCGAGAACTCAACAATAAGTCGCACACTCTGTTCTGCATAGAATGATGCCGCATTGCGGCTGCTAAGAGGACTACCCGGTATACGCAGATAAGGTGCGAGTCAATCACACCGTAACACGCCTGGGAACTGATAGGCATTATCTAGATTTACTCAATAGAACCAGGGACTAGTACAATACCATAGTGTACTACTCCCTGAATAGAACCATAAATAAGTGTCCGTGTAATTTTGAAGTATTACGAGAACTACACAGTAAGAGTCAGATTTGGGAAATTCGAAACTGTCATGAAATAGAATCATCTCTATGACGACTGCCTTGTGTAAGACACAGCTACTGTACTCGGTGAATGATGACCAGCACAGACAAGAGAACCAGATAACACTGGGGAGAAAATTACCAACAACTCCACGACAATCAGACACTAAAAAAAGAAAGACAGAAAAAGCTGGTCAGAGGCCGAGGACTTACTCAATAGAACCATAAATAAGTGTCCATGTTTGAAGTATGCGAGACCTTGAAAGTAAGAGTCAGATTTGGGAAATTCTAAACTGTCATGAAATAGAATCATCTCTATGATGGCAGTCTTGTGTAAGACACAGCTACTGTACTGGGTCAATGATGACCAGCACAGACAAGAGAACCAGATAACACTGGTCACAGGCAGCTAACTGGTCTGACCACCATCTCCGAGCACAACTCATCGATAACAGGATCATAGAGTTGGAATTCCACATTGAATTCCACATTGAATTCCACATTGCTAACACCACCACCAGTCTAATACTGCAGGAGGTCTCTTACGTGAAACCAGGAGGAGGTCGAACACATTTCCTCCGTTCATTAGTAGGTGGGACACTATCTGATGACGGTGGTACAGCTTTCGCTGCCGTTGTTGGCGATCTGTCAGGAGAGCATGCGGGGGATGCCTTCTGGCTAGGCCTCTGTTTCTCTTCAGCTTTCGTCTTAGCCGTACTGGTATCCTTCCTGTCAACGCCGTTAGTAAATTCAGCCGACTTGCCTGGTCTGTGTCGATGGCGCTGTCGTCTAGATCTCTCAGGAGCAGCACCAGCAGCAGGAGGAGTAGCAGACTTGCTGGTGTGAGCAGCAGCAGTGTCCTCTCTCGACTCTCCCACAGCAGCAGCAACGGCAGACTGCTTACCAGTACCCGGTGCAGCATGTTGACTTGCTTCAGCACTTCCAGAGTCGTGCATGCCCGCGCCATCAGTAGTTCTGTCAGGTTTTCCAGATTCTTTCACTGGCATACCATCTTTCCTGAGCGGACCAGAAGCAGAAACACCTCTGTCGCAGTCATCCCGGTGATCGCGCTCACTGCCAGTTCGCCGTTCACATCGCACACCACCAGCAGATTGCCTGCTACCGTGCTGCTGCTGCTGCCTACTGTGCTGAGAGTTAGCCGATCTGTTGGGAATCGAGGGACTACCACCCCCACTCTTCTTACCGCTGTCAGAGTGGAGCGACGTTTCTGATTGTGCATGTTCTCTGTCTGGTCCGCTACCGCCACCGCCTCCACCTCTCCCTGAGTTACGGTCACGGGCTCCTCCGCGACCATGCCGACCACCGCCTCGACCACCACGTTCACTCCCATGGTTACCACCTCGGCCACTATGGCCACTACCACCACCACCACCACGACCACCACCATAACCGCCGCTACCACGACCACCTCTTCGATGATGGGGATCATCGTTGTGTCGATCACAATCTGCGACACTTCGATTCCCTTTGGATTGACCCGATTGCTCTTTCTCTGGTCGTTTCCCCCGAGGTTTACTGTGATGAGCAGGAGCCTGTTGCTGGCGAGTAGGAGGCACATCTACTGTTGTTGCTGGTTCGCCCGCTGACACATCACAACGCTCTCCACTATCCACTGTATCAACACTCTGGATGTCTGTTGCTGCTGTGGTTGACTGCACAGAGGATGTGGTGAGATTGGGGCTACTGCTTCTGCTACCATTGCCGGGCGTTGAAACAGCTGATCCCCCTGGACACTGCAGGCTATCACCACCTTTGCTACTGTCCTGCTGCTGTTGGTCAGTGGATGATGTCTGAAAGCAAAATAGAAGACAAACATACGATCAACACCTGGATATGGACAACAATTAGGGAGAGAGAATGTTGTGTGCAGATAGAGTCATAGCATCAATGCAGATAACACAGGACAATAGTACACGAGATGACGTGCGCTTCGAACATCCACCATTCCAGTATGCGATCCTTGGTCTAGGCAGGTCGTGATCGTAGCTTTGACTTGCCGATCCCAAATGCGGCTGAGATCAGCGACGCCAGGCGTGAGCGTGAATAAATCGACCCTGCCCCATGGAGCGACCTGAACAGAGGGCCCGGGAGCGAACAGAAACCCACATCGTTTCACATTCCACTCGCCTATGCCATCTCCCTAGATACTACTACTACTACTAGTCCCTGGTAGATCATACACACTATCAACGTACAGTTTCAGAGTACAGTAGGTATCGGTTATAGCGTGGGTGTTTGAAAAACGACATTTGATTCGTATTGCCGATATTTCTTACACACAATAAATCACGTGTGACATATCATATGCGCGCACGTTTGGCATGTGGACACGTACACACGGATCAATCAGACTCGCGGTCGTGCTAGGCGACTGCGGAGCAGCGGATACGAGAGAAGTCGAAAGAAAGAGTCCGACTGGACAGAAAAAGTGATTCTCCAATGCTCCCTTGGACATAACTCTCTTTTTGTGTTGAATTATTGTATTGAGTATGCACAGAGCACAGAGCACAGATGTTATTACTACAGGCGATACACTTTGCGCTAATCTGGCATATTTTGCTACACAAAATCCATTCTTAGGGCCGATATATTCTACTATGCGATAATACTGCTTGTAAGAATAAATATACACATAAAATATGTGTTATGATTATGAAAAAAAGAGTGTTCATTCTTGCAAGCAGTATATTCTTGTATACGACCACACTATAACCGATACGCACTGTACATGTACATGACTTGTACTACAAGTATTAACAGTACAATGTACAGAATGAAGACATCACAAGTGTTGTTAGAGGTGTACAGTAAAACCTGTAATGGCGACCACTCGGATATGGCGACCACTTTTCCTTGTCACGGACGCATTCACATTCAAAACAGCTCGGATAAAGCGACCACTCGCTCAACGCGACCGACGACCACCCACCCGCGACCGCGTTGCACAGTGCTAGTACATGTACATGTAAATGTACGCATTGCATCGCAGCATGGTGCACCATGCATGCATGGTAGATCTACACATGGTGCATGCACGACACTTGACAGGTCTGAGCACCCCAGGCAAATGGGTCGTGCTAGAGTAGCATAGGTCACAGTAGCCTAGGTGTGTGCACTGTGATACACTGATCAAAATGATGTATCACATGTGGATATGGTCATGTGACCCACTGAACCTGGATAAGAAGACCACCTGGCCATGGCGACCACTTTTTCTCGTCCCTTGAGGGGTCGCCTTAGACAGGTTTCACTCTAACTCTACTACGGTTCTGGCAAGTGAAATGCAGACTGATGCGCACTTGCAATGCCAAAGGCCACTCGGCCATAAAGTCCTGATCAATCTATCTACTAGTAGCACAGAACACACACACACACACACACACACACACACACACACACACACACACACACACACGGTGACATCAAAATCGGCTCGTGACTCTGAAAGTGCAACATTGGCCTGGATTTCACTTGCCAAACTGTATTTGTAGTGGCAGTAACTACTTGTATGTGGATGGCAGGTGCGGAGGGGAGACAAAACCACATATTCTGGCCCTAGTGGTAGAGTGAAATAGTGGTTACCTGCACCATTGCTGCTAGATCGAACATTTGCACAGTGTTGTTCACGCTCTTGTCAATCTGGCCTCCCTTTGCTTCCTGTTGCTTCTTCAGCGCTTCCATCTCCACCTGTTGACGCCGTTGATCCTCCGATGGGCGGAAAACAAAATGCTGTAAAAAAAAGAAGATGAGAGCAGATGCAACTTTAGACAATGTACCTTGTAAAATAAATCTTTCACACACACACGTTCAGAAAACATGTGAGTACAGGTAAAACTTGGTTAAGACTGGGTCCGTGAGACAACTATTGTTTTCCAACCAAATTTAGTGAATGTACATGGATGACCCTGGTGTTAGAGACAACCTGTGTTGAAAGGCAGCGATATTCCGGTCCCATTGGTGGTCACTGCTACCAGGTCACACCCGTGCAACGCAAGTCTTCAAAGTCATATCATGCCTTTCGAATCGCATGCCCTTTAATTTAAAGGATACCGGACTAACGGTTATGTCAATAGCCATATACAGCACTACTTGAAGTACCTCTACTCCCCAGTGCAATAGCTGCCAGCAACCGGCAATTCAAAGCAGGAAAAAAGAGACAGATGCGTGCGTGCGCACGCTCGCGGGTGGGTGCAAGCATGAGAGAGAGAGAGAGAGAGAGAGAGAGAGAGAGTGTGTGTGTGTGTGTGTGTGTGTGTGTGTGTGTGTGTGTGTGTGTGTGTGTGTGTGTGTGAGAGTGCTCGCTCGGGTGGGTACATACTCATACAAGTGTGTGTATGCTGTTAGGGCACATGCCGTATACTAGTAGTAGTAATCAGTGTAAATTACCATGTCGTCAGCACCATACACCGCAGAGGTGTCGCTGGCCAGCTTTTGAATCTCTTCCGGTGTTACTGACAAGCATGTTCTGCACACTGGACATGGCATCTACACAGAGCATCATAAGGAAAACATCACCAGATCAGCCAGTCATCAGAAATAATATACTTCTGATTGAAGTACACCAAACAATGGCAATGAAAAAAGGCTATGATTCCAACCCCAGGTACAACTTCACACATAAGTCAAGAGGTACGCTTAGTTGCCCACACACCCACATAGAAAAGAATCACAAATACCGTAACATCATACCTTGTCACTATCTGTTGTATTGTCAGAAGCATGGCGGTAGGGAATTGCGTCCTCGTCCTCCGCCTTCTCCTTTAGCTGCCCCAGCCAGTGTTCACAATAGCCAGTCAGACAGGCAATGTGAAAGAAGTGATAGCAGATCGTCTTGAGGAACTTGTCACCCTCCTGTACGCATCGGCATATGGAGACACCACCAGCCCAGAGAGGGAATGACACAGCGACACACAGCGCACTTGATAAGAACAACGATTAATTTCAAGTGGCATTCAATTGACCGTAACTTTGGTGTCTCTCAATGGATTTGAGTGAAATTTCACCACACACTCCTGCCACTATGCTGGCCATCTGGACATGATTTAAAAGTTCTTGCGCCTCACTGACAGGCTTTCCAGGCCGGAAAAACTCAAAATTCCGGCATAGTGCTACGGTGTGCGAGCCACCCAGGAGCCCAAAAAATGCATTTACAATTTTTTTCACATTTTCTTGCCCATTCTGTCCGTGCGCGGGATCCAAACCTAAAAAAAGTCCAGAAGCAGCCATGGGTGGTGGGATAGGGCCCCTCAACGTGGCCCTGGAATCTGTCACAACGGCACGAGTGGGCGTTCTTTCACAGACTCCCACAGACCCAAGTCATTTTTTTAATTTTTTTAGGTTTAGCACGTGCTACGAGGTCGCACCTTTGATACAACATCCAGTGCTGGGACCTCCACGGCAAGCCATTTCCACAGCGCTGCACACCAAATCCAGGATACCCTAAAAAATCGGAAAAAACTACCACTCACGTTCCACTACTGCCCAGTACTGAATCCTACCTGACTTCTTGACACGACTCAAACTTGCCAAAGTCACTAAATCAACGTCAACTACAATAATCAAGCTACATATCTGCAACGTCACGAGGGTGCTGGTAAAAGTCGTGCAGCCCAATACATGGCTAAAAAACGTGATTTTTTGGACTTGGAGCAAAATTCTGCACACTTTCGCGTTTTCCATGATACGACAAGTTGCACACGGTCTGCCCAGATTCGAATACAGTGCTGCCAAAAAATGACAGCGTGCAACAAAAAATCTTTCCTTGCAAGGGCACATTTTCGGCCATAACTCTTGAACGGCTGGTCAGATCGAGACAAAAATTTCAGAGATTTTGCAGCTATTCATGCTCTTTCAACTGATGTAGCACTCGATATGAATTTAAAAATTCGATTTTTTAGGGAATTTCTGGGTACCGTATTTTTCGGAGTATAGTGCGCACTTTAGATGTGCTATTTTAGGCCCGAAATCGCAGGTGCGCACTATGCTCCGAATATGAAATGCATGTACTTCAATGAAGATTGAAGTGCGCACCCCCAATGAAGATTGGGGGTGCGCGTTATACAAAGGTGCGCACTATACTCCGGAAAATACGGTAGTCTGCTACGAGTGCTACTGTCAATAGACCGATCCCCTTACTATACTGGGTTCGAGCACGGGGGCAACCTTTTAAGTTTTTGAACGTGACAGCATCCATGGCAGTGTGTTTCAATTTTGTTTTGTGGTTTGCGATGGCTTCGAACGGTGCTGAACCTCCTGCTGGTACAAGCAAAGAGTAAGTGAGACATGGACAGTGAAGCAGCTGCAGGATTTTTTGAAGGCGCAAGGGGGAAAGATCTCGGGCCGCAAACAGGACTTACTGAGGAGGTGATTTTGTTTTGTTTTCGAAATGTTTGAGTCGTGAATCGTGTTGTGAGATTTATTTGGCTACTGCAGACTGTATTCCTTTCCTCTCGAGCTCAGTGCAGAAGATACAGTTACCCGTTCTGCCATTTCTTCTCCAGGGCCATATTCTATGAAGGCAACCCTTATTCTCCTAAGTCACGATCGCGATCAGCAGGCTCTGCAGTCGAAAAATAGATTTCCCAACGTCTGGTCGGACCTCAGACACATCTGATTTGCCTGCTGTTACAACAGCAGCCATACTTGGACACCTGGCGAAGATGGGAAAGCCTACGGGTGGCAGCGACAGAGAGGAGTTGATCCTCTCGCAGAAGACACTGCGGAGAGGCCACCATTTTTTCTTTGGAGGCTACATACACGACGTGACCATATGTCGCAGTGGCGATCAGTGCTCTGTGAAGTCTAGGTGCTCGGCATCCCAGAGGAAGAATACAAAGTATGACCAGCGTGTGGTGTTCGTGGAGCGGTGTGAAGACCTAGAAAAGGATAGTGAAGACATGTGGGAGGTGTGCATGGTGTTGGAAACACCGTGTGCTGGACGCCCGGCTGGTGGTGATGGTGGTCTTTGCCAGCACGTGTCCGCGCTGCTTCTGGTACTTGAACATCTCTCGCCCAGGAAGACATATGACGTGCTCCCTGGTCCTCAGTCGGTGACTTCCCAGTCACAGCAATGGGGCATTCGTTCCAGAAACGTTACACCAGAGCCAGTGATGGGGATGACGTTTAAAAAGCCTAAGCTTCCCAGTGATCGCAAGCGCAGGGCAGTGGATTGCTCCCTCTTCGAAGCACGAGGGCCAAAGCTCCGCTCTCTGCAGCAAGGTGTGCGCGATCTGTAGAGTTATTTTGAACCTGTGTATATCCCCCCCCCCCCCCCTCCCTCCCTCCGGCTCAGGGAGACTGTATGACTGTTCATCAAAGTAAACTATTTTCTGGTATATTTAATGTGAGAAGGGCTGCTCACGCTCAAGAAGATATAGTTTTTTTTAATATCTATACCTTCCTAAGATGTAGTCTATGGTCCGATATTGATGATTGGAGATCTAAGATAGCAACGGCAGTGAATTCAAAATGCCTCATAGTTGGGTCTAGTGCGTGAAGGCTGCTGGTTACTGTGTCTTACTTGTGCTTTTCTTTTGTCAGATTCTGCAGCCTCCATCGATACACTTCGATCCCAGCCAATTAACTTCACACTGAAGACTATCCTACCAAAAGCATTTGGCGCCTCGTGGCAGTTCATTGTCCTACCAGTTGAAGAGAGACCCTCGAATGCCACCAGCACAGTCTGCTTCTTCCCCACCGGTTTCATCGTTTCCTCCCCTCCCACTTTGCCAGCCTACTCCACATCATCTCTTCGACCAGAGTGGACTCTGCCCCTGGATAGATGCTCCTCTATGGAGCAAAGAATAGTTGGCCAGTCTTCGAACCCGCTATGGAAGGAGCTCCATAGCCGCACCATCACAGCCTCGCACTTTTAAAACTTGTTGTTCGGCGACAGTGTGGCTTTTACACGTTCCTTGAGTCAATACTTGACCCGCGCCCAGTTTGGACTGTGTCCGAGGAGGGAAACACGGAAAGATGCATGAGGATGTGGCACTCAAAGCTTACTGTACGCAGAAGGAAGGGGATGGCAACCCTGGTGTGCTGCGGAAAGCTGGCACTGTCCTCCATCCTCAGTTCCAGTTTATTGGAGCATCTCCAGACGGCATTGTAACTTGTAAGGGACCCATTCTCCACTCCAGAGTACGGCCTTGTAGAGGTGCAATGTCCATATTCTGCTCAGGCAAAGAACCAGACCCCCTTGCTCGAACCCAGACAATAATAAGGAGATCAGTCTATTGGCTACACAACATGCATATACAGCAGCGGTGACCATCAAAATTTGACCCAGTTTTACTGGGATTAGTTTCTGTGTACTCACGTATATATCTACCTTTCAATATGTAGTCTAATACATGTACTATGCGGTACTATTCGGTACTTACTCAGTTACTGGGCTCTACACAAGAATTAAAAGTAGCATGACATGTTACAACTGTCCTTTACCTCAAAGTCGACTCTGCAAATCGGGCACACTCCTGTGGGGCGATTGTTATCGCTCAGGCTCTCCCTCGCCTTCTATGGCATAGTACAGAGTGGAACACAGAAAAGATATCCAACGAGAGTGCAATTTTAAAGCAGCTATGGAGACGGCCGAGGAATGACAGCATAGGCCAGCTACACTAACATCAGGCACTGAAGAACAACATCCAGGCTATGAAGTTACAACAATTTAGAACGTGCCAGGCTGGAGGCAAAGATTTAGAAACACCAGTGTGTGTGTTTCCATGTAACACTGCATGCACAGTGCACCTATGCAGTAACTGTGTGAATGTACAAACGCAGAATAAGAACGAAGATGCTGGAGTCTCGAAACATAAGAGCATCGCTTTCCTGGAGTCCGTTCTCAGGCGCCCAATAGTGCTGTAGTGAGACCGGCATGGGACAACTTTCTATGGCAGTATGTTGGTGGCATCATGCACATTCTGCAGACATGCTCTCACACCCAGTGACAGCCCACGTACCATCAGGGGAATTCCCCAGCTGCATTAATCCAGCACTGTAACACAAGTATGCACTGGAGCCAATCCCAACCGGTCTGCAAAAACACCCACATCAATATTCAATAACCTGCTTGTTTGACACCCACACCTCCACATATCCACACCCATACAGTACACAACCTCACTTACACACCCACACACTTACACACTCACATACCACACACCCACACACTTACACACCCACACCTACACACAAGACAAACGCCGGCTTACTTCAATGAGGCTGTGCAAGTAAATTTTACCAGTGTGTTCACCGGCACTCGTGCGCATTTCAGCCAGAATCCTGAACAGACACAGTCACATGCACGCACAATCACACATCCAAGACCACAGTCATGAACACCTTGGAAACCGCCAACTACATGAAACCTTTTCACATGATTAACCCTTTATTACCGGCCTGCAGTAATATCTTCATAACTCCACTGTTTCTTGTGCAAATTCAACAATCGAAGGGTCTATTTGGTAGCGGAAACTCCAAGCTATCCAATGCAACAATCGCCGAAGAGATACGATGGCGGACACCAAAGATATCGCGCGCCGTATTCTTACCTCGGCAAATTCAAATTTTTGATCGATCACTTCTCCACTTTGGGGGGATCCCTTTTCGTGTGCTCTTTGAGCGATTAGTCGACTGAGCACATGATAATGACGTAGTTGGCTGAGGTTTGAATCGTCTCAAACAAATTTGAGCGTTCTACAATGAAGGAGAGTGGCATGGCGTTGATGGGATGAATTTGCTTGCATATCAGGCTTGGAGACGACTTTGCTGTGTTACCGCGCCTGGAATTGTGGCGACTGGATAGTGGAGCTTGGTACCCTGGCGTTGCTCTCGCCAAGAGCTTTCCAACGAGCCCTAGATTGTGAAAATCAAGCGAAGGAGACCAAAGTTATGACCTGGTGAAGTTGGAAATTGTGCTGACATTCGTAATTCTGGTGCATGCTGTGCTAGTAATCCGGTAAAAAAGGCAAATGCTCGAATCCAAACTACGACTCACACTAGCTGCACTATAGATGCATGAGGGCTTTCAGAATGGCACGGCCATGTTGATATCAAGTTGAAAATTACAGTTTTAGTGCACGGGATACGGTAGTGTTTCCGAGCCACGGTCACCGACAAAACACACAAGAGTACACGCTGACTCAACCTCAACTCACCGACAGAACACACAAGAGTACACGCTGACTCAACCTCAACTCACCGACAGAACACACAAGAGTACACGCTGACTCAACCTCAACTCACCGACAAAACACACAAGAGTACACACTGACTCAACCTCAACTCACCGACAAAACACACAAGAGTACACGCTGACTCAACATCAACTCACCGACAAAACACACAAGAGTACACGCTGACTCAACATCAACTCACCGACAAAACACACAAGAGTACACGCTGACTCAACCTCAACTCACCGACAGAACACACAAGAGTACACGCTGACTCAACATCAACTCACCGACAAAACACACAAGAGTACACGCTGACTCAACCTCAACTCACCGACAGAACACACAAGAGTACACGCTGACTGAACGTCAACTCACCGACAAAACACACAAGCGTACACGCTGACTCAACCTCAACTCACCTTTCCACATGCTCCTCACTCAAACCACGCGGGCAGCGGACAGACACAGAGGGCGGTGAAGACGGATACTGGAGAAAAAAAGTAGACCAGAGGGCATGTTGATCAGGTAATGAAAAAAAAGAGTTGAAGAAAGTAAAGTGCATAGAACAAATCAATCACATAGTTTAAGGAGATTAACCCTTTCCGTGCTGACCCCTTTTACTACAGCAAACTGCCTTCCAGCGCACTGACTCTCCTGGTGTCGTTTTCGCGCACAGGTCCGGACAAATTTTTCTCTCAATTCAGTTCACCTGGATGGATTTTCCCTATCCTGGGCTTGTTGGAAAGATCAGGACCAAGCGAATCCATCCTGGTAGCTCTCATCTCAATATGCACGGCGGTGCAACTTCGATGTCCACTCGAAACTACTTCACGATGCCTCGGAAAGGCACAGCAACTCGATTTCACATTCTTTTTCGGTTTCTTGTTCCAGTTCAGCCGATTTTCACTATTCAAACTGCGCTGCAAAGCTGAGATCCACGTGCTTCCGCTGGTGTCTATTACTCATGCGCTGTGCCAAGGGAAATCCCCTGGCACGCAACAGAAAACTGCGAATGCATGAACAAAAAAATTCACGATCGCTCAGTGCCGTGAATTCCGTGTTCACACCGTCGCAGCTCCGTCAATCTTTTTCCCATCGCGAAGAACTTTATATTTATGTTGCTGGAAAACTGAGCTCAATACCTTTCCAACGGTGTATCTATTGTCGCGATAGACTTATTTTTGACGGAGTTACGAAAGTTTGTATACTGATCTATGCACTGCGATGTACTGCGCAAATCTCATGACGTCTATAGACGTCATTAGTCGTTTGGCGTACAGCGCACATGACGTCTATAGACGTCATTAGCACGGAAAGGGTTAATGAAAGTGAACATTTCGTGGTTCTTTGAAGTCCCATTACAAACCTAACATATCGTATATTCTCTATTCTAAGCGCCGTGCTTCTATTTCAACACACCTCTAATCCGCGCTTATACTGGAGACCGTGCTTATATTGGAGACCGTGCTTATATCTTTTCAATCAATAACTCCATACAGAGCAAGAAGAAATACATGCTAGTAGATATCATGCATGCAACACTGATTTCCACCGAGATCATGCTAATAATGGAGACTGTGCTTACTTCACTGTATAATGTTTCGAAGAGTGCTCACAGTGTGCTAGTATTAGAGACTTCGCTTGTAATGGAGACCTGTGCTTATAATAGAGAATATACGGTACGTCTGGTCAGTGATCATGGCCTCACTGCATGGGACCAATCCGAATAGAACACCACCGCCACCACCACCACGAAGACACAGTTGTCTAATCCTTACATTTTCTGGCAGGTCTATTACAAGCACCATGCTGACGTAGCATTCATCCACACACTCTCCAACACTGGGCTTCAGCAGCAAGGAAAACCCGGATACATTCCCACCGCTGGAAGTAACAGAGATCAAAGATAATAATAAAAGCAATGGGTTTCACAACAATCCAGCAAATACCATAAAACAGAACTTAGGTACTTGAAGTAGAAGGCGCAGGATTCTACAAGTAACATAGCAGCATGCCTGGTAAAGACGGACGGTAAAACCTGCCGTAGGGACATGCCTCTCAACACAGAACACCCCACAGTGAGGACACATTCACTCAGTCTTGACTGCTCCCAATCAAGTTGAAATGGATTCTGGAAACAGGAGACCATCTACAGGAATGATCGTTTGGTGCCATGGTTCAATATACATGTACCAGTCCCACCATTGCCACTGCAAACAGCCGCCACCACCACCACCACCACCACCGCCCACTAGTACCTTATACGCTGCAGTGAATCCTCTGTGCAATGAAGAAAGTTGGCTCCTATGGTGTCCCTAATCGTGAGGTCCCATTGCAGTTGCCTATGCAAAACTATGGTACGTGCATAAAATAGGTTTTCGCACACAACAGAGCTGGGAACGAGGGCTTTGCTTTAGTTTGGACATACCGTAGTGTCATGTATTAAAGCCTGTCTCATATAGAAGTGAAAAAAGAAGAAGGACAAAATGTTACGAGTTATGACTAACTGTCCACCAAGTGTTGGAGCTAGGTGTCAGGTCGCCGAATGTCTCAGTACTCCTGGTCAGTTTCGTGCCATTTTGTCGCACTCGCTGACTGTAAGTTATAAGATCTGGTTACGTTGGTGGACAGTTAGTCATAACTCGTAACATGTTGTCCTTCTTCTTTTTTCACCATAATTTAATTGGCTTACCATCCGAGTTCATTTTGAAGTCTGTTTCGAATTCAAGCCTGCTTATCAATATACACTACTGGCACATAAGCCAGGTTTTAGTGTTGATATACACATAAATACCTGGTTTGAATAGAAGCCTGATGCAAGTAGAAGCCTAGCCCTGACATTGGCTTCTACAGGAATAAGCCCGGCTTTAATGCGCGACATTACGGTCCACTGATTAACAAATGGTACATGTAATCACCTTTCATCTCGTACAAGTTGAAGCTCATCACAGTAAATCGCTTCCAGCAACTGAAACTCCAGCTCGACAGCCCTGTGTCATGCACACATAGCATGTATAGCAAAGCCAAACACACAGAACACACAGCATGTATAGCAAAGCCAAACACACAGAACACACAGCATGTATAGCAAAGCCAAACACACAGAACACACAGCATGTATAGCAAAGCCAAACACACAGAACACACAGCATGTATAGCAAAGCCAAACACACAAAACTGATAAGGAGTTGAGAACATGATCATCAATATTGTTCAATCTAGAGTAGAGCATTGCAGTGACGTACAGTCAACTTCGCTTATAACGACACTCGGCGGGGCATCAAAAAGGTGTCCTTATTCGCGAAGTATCGTTATACCCGAAGTCTCATTTTATGTATTACAGTGGGATGGGACTTTGCTCTGGGCATGGAAACTCTGTCGTTATTCGCGAATTGTCGTTATATCCGCAGTCGTTATTGGCGAAGTTGACTGTACGTTAACAAGAACCGAAGAAATATCAAAGAGCATTCAAAGTACATGTAAGTGAAGTACAGTAAAACCTGGTTTAAGCGACCACCCCATGGTGCAAGCAAAAGCGGTTGTTAAAGCCAGGTGGCCTTTAGAACCAGGTCCCACAGAGTCTGTGTAGAACTGTCTGTGCATGGAAAACGGTCGTTAAGAGCAGGTGGTGGCTAAAACGAGAGGTTGCTTACACCAGCTTTTACTGTAACTACTTACGGTATTGAAGGGAAATGGAAAATAATTAGGAATTAAATTCGGATGGTGAGACAATGCAACAATCATGGAAAAGAGTAAGGACAATATGTAACGTGGTGATAACTCGTTACATACTTAGTTTAAGCAAACTCGGGCAGAGCGTATGCCTTTGTTTCTGGATGAGGATGCATTCACAGTTTGGTCTTTACTGGATGCTACATCCAAAAAGGACAACAAGACCATTTATGGAGCATTGCAATCTGCATTTGGAGGTGCCAAAGAAAAGTGTTACTACAAGTTCGTTCGTTGCCAGCTCCGAAGTGACGAGGGGAGGTGGACGTATTTCTGGTGGATTTACGTTGCTTGTTGGCAATGTTGGGCCAAAGTGGCCACACGGAGGTGAACCAGGATCCTGTTTTGAAACAGTGACTTCTGTCTGGTCAGCCTATGGAGTTTGCTGGGCAGATTCGCCTGCAAGATGCTGCGAGCGTACTGACTGTGGAACAATGTGCAGAGCAGGTCAAGGCATTGAGGTCAGCTCAAAAGGTCAATAGGTTACTTCATGGGTCTGTGTCTGCAGCAGCCAGGACTAAGCGGGACAGGCTGGGAGAGCCCTCCTTTAGGCCCTTGCGCGCACGTACATCAGAATCGTTAGAATCGGTCCGTGGCGCTGGAAGTGTACATCGGTCCAGACTACTCTTGCCAAACTATCATGATACATGCAGGGCATACTCCAACCTCATGAATAAAACAGCGCTGGGCGCTACGCGACCCTAAGTTAGTAACACTGCAGGCACTATTTATTGCACTCGACTCGAGCGCTGCGCTACTTTATTTATGAGGTCGAGTTTCTCTGCCCAGAACTGTAGAACAGTAGCGTGTCAGTTATCTGACACCCTCGGGACCGGGTGAATAATCCGGATACCTGAAGCTAAATTATCACCAATATATCGAGTCGATACATCTCAATGATTATTAATTTATTATACACTAGCAGCACCACCGGCCAGCGTTGCCTGGCCGAATGTGGCATGCGGGTGAAGCAAGTACGTGAACAGCACACGTGCTCAGCACGTGGTGGTGGCCAGACCGCTGAAGTCCTGGTGAGGGAGGTTCTTCATCGTTGGAAGGAGAAGGAGGGACGTCTGTTACGCCTTCAGGAGGCTGGTCAGGGTTGTCCATCACCTGGTGGCGGATGAAGCGGCTCAAAAAATTCATAAACTTATGAACAAATGTGCGATGCGCTCTTCACTGCAGATCAGATGCAGAGTGCAGTCAGTGCAGATCTTTTGTATCCTTTTGTTGCAGATGTTTCTATTTGCAGAGAACGGTTCACGTGGTCCGCAGCGCTTGTGCGGTTGTTGTTGTAGAAGTTTATTTAACGTCGCACCAGGCTGCTAGTAGTAGTGCTACCTATGCCTATGGCCTAGGCTAGGTGGCTACATGATTCGCACGCTTCGCGTGGTCAGTGCTTCTGCGCGCGGCTGCTACTGCTACTCGTACTGATCGTGTCTGTTACCACCTACACTGTTCGCACACTTCGCGTGCTCAGCACGTGGTGGTGGCTACACGATTCGCACGCTTCGCGTGCTCAGTGCTTCTGTGGCTGCTTCCGCTAGCTACACGATTCGCACGCTTCGTTCGCACGCTTCGCGTGCTCAGTGCTTCTGCGGCCGCTAGCTACACTGTGCTACACTGTTCGCACGCTTCGCGTGCTCAGGGCAGCGCTGCTCCGCAGCGCTTCAGCGTGACACAAAAACACACGTCACAGGTGCCTCTTCTTTATAAGGAGCGTGACACACACACACACACACACACAGACACACGTCACAGGTGCCTCTCTTTTATAAGTAAAGATGGTCGCACATGTCCATGTACCGTTATTTTGGCATTCTTTTCGTATCGGACACTCGTGTTTATTAATTTCGCACATCAATATGAACCCACTTTATAACAAGACAATGTTTAGGGTATCAAAACAGTTTGCATGGAACACACTGGAAAGCTTGAGCCGGCTACATGAACACCCTGTCGGATAACCCGCATGCCGGATGACCGACCGGCGGGTAAGTGACACGCTCCTGTACCTCCCCACATTAGGATCACTAATTTCCAACACGAAAAATATGTTTCAACTCAAATTATTTAATCATAGGTTGATGTTTCAACCCCCTCAACTTTTAATGAATAAAAAATTCTTTCATCGAAATGATGAGATTTGAAGCAACGCTTTCTGTGTGTACTGTACAACATGGTACAAGCAGCACTACAATGTAGGTTCTTACTCGGAGATGCTTTCTGAAGAGAGCTGCTGAGAATACTGTGCCTGGAAGTCCGAGGCGGCCATGCTGTTGCAGAGTGTGTGCAACCAAGCCTTCCAGAAACGTTTTATTCGTTTCTTTAAAAGGTCCACAAGTTCCACTGCTGCTCAGAAGGCAACCATCTCAAATTCTATTTCAGTTAGATACTAATGTAAAATCTTCTGAACTCGAGAAAATCCAAAGACATGGAGCTGGAAGAACCGGTGTCCTGTAGCAAGCCCTTCACACTCTGCATACAAGGCAAAACGTATGTACTGCCTGGTGTTCGGAAAGGACAAAGGCAGACTACAAATCGAACACAAACCTAGACCAAGTACAGTCAGTGTAGCCACAACTAGTAGACTAATCTGATAATAAGCACCACTCGAACTCAAGCATTCTTGATCTTGACTTTCATCTACATAGTATAGTGAAAAGGGCGTCAATATTTGAACCAGGCCGGGATCGATGACGATGAGGCCGTATAATCAGCAGCAAGAGTACAATCATAAACCTTTATGACTGTAGAGTCTACTCTTGATCTTGTCAGCAGGTAGTCCTACATGATGTATCGCCTCGATCGCGAGAGACCAAACAAAACTGCATGCATGTGAAATCAGTGAAAATAATTATTTTGACCACGCATGAATCATGCATGCAGTCACATAATCATTGTCATTGCATGCATGCAATGAGCCCAATGACGTGCTTGAACATGTGTAAAAAAACCTTCCTTTTGCACACACTGACGTCTTATCTGTTGTATCCTTTTCTTTTGGCTGCTGCTGAAAATTCAAAACGAAGTACTTTTGGCAAGGCATTTTGTCTTTTTGGTAGACGCAGTACCTTCCCCCCTTCACTGGGCTATAGGCTAGCAGTATTCTTCAATAAAAATTATTCGAGAAACTGCACCTCTCGTAAGAATCCTAGTTGTTGAGTTTCAATCATGGTACGTAGGTTTTGGCGTTGCTCAAGAAATGAGTTTGGTCGAGTTTTGAGCAAGTGGCATCTCAATTTCTTTGCTTTTAGGCAAGCGGAACGGATAAAGTATTTGGAATTGGCACAATTGCGTTGTCAATACTTATATTCGCGTACTATACCCTCTGGGTAATCGTTCTGGTAAGTTCGTGAGTCAGTGCTTCCTTGACTAGCGGTTAGTGGTACCTAATGTGTGTTATTAAAATATACGAAGGCACACAATGAAAACCTTAGCAAATTAATTCCGTTGTGACTCAGAGTTTCATGGCTGAACCAATCATCAGACAACATCGTTGTGTGCCTTTGTGTACGCCGCTCTGCCTGAATCAGGCATTGAGCACTCTTGCAGAACCAAAGCATATTGCCTCTGTGTTATTAAAATATACCGTAAAGTACCGCCAGAGCGCCCCGTCTCGCGAGAGCGCCCCACCTTGATTTTACAGCCAGAGAAAGGACAATCGTATGGCAGAGTGCAACGAAGTGTGTACGATGTGAGAATCTTAGTGTACTAAGGTCACACTTGGCAGGTTTTTGTGTGGAGCACGTGTCCGCTTGAAGGTACGGATTGACCGCAAAACGTGCAATATGTGTACAAGGTTCATGTCGTATGACCTACAGACAGCAGACCACCTTCACAATACGACCACGAAAGGATGAGATGGTGGAGCGCTCTGGAGGTACTTTACGGTAATAATAAAATAAATTCAATTTAGAATCTGCCCTACCGGATTTCTGGCGAGGACACCTACAAAACTGGGTCACCTTTCAGAGTAAATAATTTACCAAATGTCGGGACAAGTGGATTATAGGGAGTGTGGAGAAGGTGCATAGCTTGTCAAGATTCAACCCAACCCGGCAGCTGGCTTGTGCGTTTGCGCGCGCGCGCGCGTGTGTGTGTGCGCGTGTGTGTGTGTGTGCGCGCGCGCGTGGCATGTTGCAGTGTGCCATGACCTGCATAAAGCAAGCACCTCTCCAACACTTTTCCTTGTTTTGTTGTTCTTTCTTCCCGCTGCAGCCGTTCATGGAGCCCAATCATCAGATTGCGCAGTACTTTCTTCCATCTGTGTATGCTATCATCATACCACTAGTAGCAGGAGTTGCTTTGGTGGCAGTATTAGGTAATTACACTAGTACATGTATCTGCGTGCTGTATGTCATTGTATCACCCCGGCGCAATGCACTGACTGCCATGCCTAGCGTAACTTGCATCGGTTTTTAGCCTATCGGCAAGCCTAAAAGAGTTGATGTACACATGTGTGTGTGTGTGTGTGTGTGTGTGTGCACGTGTGTGCACGTGTGTATGTGTATGGCGCTAGTGGTATGTGTATGTGTGTTTAATAAACAGCATTTCCCCTAGAAGTTTCTAGCTGTGATTGATGGGCATGGTTCTGCTAGACCTGCAAGTGTAGTCTTGCTAAATGCTAGTGGAAAGTCAGCATCCAACATGCTTGTTATTTTAGCTACTTGTGTCTCCTTCTGTTTGTGTTTTACAGGTCTTATGATCGTGAAAGTTCTCATGGCACAGCGTGCTAAAGCTCTGAAGAAGAAAGCATCTTGAGATGTAATTGAAATAGGAATTAATCTGCTTGATGACCTTTCCGCTGTTTCTTCTGTGCTTTCTGATGCTGGTACTTAAAGTACTTGTCACAAATCTGCCGTCGCCTTTCCAGGTGGTTCGTAAATCTACCTCTTACAGACTTCATCGTAATTATAAATCCTGTCCCGGCTGGCCCGCCAACGTTCTTGACATAAACTTCAGATTTACGTATACATCTTAGTTGCTACATGTGCACATGTCGTCGCATTGCTCTTGTTGTTGGGGAGTGGTGACGGCGGCGGCTGTGGCATTCATATGATCATGCGTGTGTTTGTACAGCTATGCGTGGTGCGGTTATGCACCTGTTATGTGCTTCTGCAATCCTTTCATACCCGGCAAAAAGTGTGCAATACTGTAAAACCGGAAATTTCGGTGGTGTTTTATTTTCGGTAACTTCGGTACAGGTGCTTTTTACCTAAAATAAAACGCGACGTAAAATTCAACCATGCCATGCCACACTGTGTGCAAAATACATTTTTGGATCTGGAAAACGGGTTTACCGAAATTTTCACGGTACCGAATTGTTGATTTTGGGAAATACTGAAAATATTACACCACCGAAAATTCCCGGTTTTACAGTAACAGTACTGGATTGTAGTACTGTAAAACCGGGAAGTCTAACGACCAAAAAGTTAAACGTTTTTGTAATTTTGGCATGATCACGTGCAGAAAGTTTAACGATGGCTACCTGGCCACCCATGTGTATGCGCATCTTTACACAGACATTTAGCGATAACGTTTTTTTCCAATATTAACGAAAAATAATTGGTCGTTAAAACGTTAGACTTTGTGACTCGTTAGACTTTCCGGTTTTACAGTACTCCCTGGATCTGATTGCTTGTATATGGGCAGGCAGTGGAGTTTGGGCTCAAGAAGACTGTTCAGTGTTCATATGCTCTTCCTAACATCAGCTGCTGGAAGTTCATGACCGGCTGGACTGGGAGTCGTGTGGCTGACCCCTCAGATGATCTGCTGTTACCGGAGTGTATGTCCGTATGTTGCCTGACCTACGCTGGAAGGTCCACGGGTGGGGTGACCAAGACTGGGCAAGAGTAATGAGTACTACGTCTTGTATAAACTATGTACTACATGTACTGGTGCGTGACTCTTGATACTGTATCAGGGAGTGCATGTAATTGTAAAGACTACAATGAAGAAGTATAAAACTGTAATACAAGTCATACATGTATCTGTATTACAGTTTTATACTTCTCCCTGGTTAGTGGAGGTCATGGTATCAATCAGGGATGGAAGTGCTACAAAGTAGATCTGCAATGCTATAACAATAATCATCGTCACTGACATCAGGCCATGCATGCAGGGTACGTAGATCTACGGGTGGAAGTAATTGTAATTTTAATTGCAGTAAAATTATTAAAATTATTTTACTGCTGCCTCATTCGCAGTGACAGTGTGATGGTCCACACCAAGAGTACCTAGTACCTGATGTACTCTTGTCCACACTGACCTGTGACCATGCCCCATCATGCATGGTCCACTGCAGCCTGCAGGGAGTCGTAAAATACCGGTATTTTACGACTCCCTGGTTCACTGATGGACAAGAATGGGAAATCCCCCCTGTGAGCTAGGGCGCCGGGCCGAGGCCGGACGGATCGCCTTATGTCACGTGATCGTTCAACACGTGTACGCCGAAAAAGTTCAACTCGGCCATGCTGGCGTTCAAAAATCCAGGCAGCTCAGCTTGGCAAGCTACATGCAGTGTAGCTACGTCTGGATTTCCGACATTTCAATTCCCATTTTTCTACCGACAGGCGACCTGGCCTGGGCGACAGCAGCAGCTCAGCTCAGGCACCAGGACCGCATGTCATCCTCCAGGTGGTTGTTGCTGTAGACCAGTGGAGACTGTAATCTGAATTCTGATAGTATCTGAGTGATAATTATTGATGCTACGAGTCATTGTGAGTCATTGTGGAGGCAAGAAAAAGAAGATTGTATGCAGCTGTCTAAAAAGTAATTAATCAGACCGACAGTGTGCAGCACTATTCCTGAACAAAGTGTGTGTTTACTGTGCGGATACGCCTCAATGAAAACGGGGATCGTGGAACCGGTGGTATGTTTGAAGTCTTTTTCTTAAAGTTTACTACATTTTCAGGATTTGCGAGAGAGCAATACGAGAACTTTGTGAGCCATGAGTGGTGCACACAGTAGAGAAACAGAGCAGCTGCTGAACTCTGACATTACCAGCCTTAGACGACCTCTGGACTCCTCGGCCGAGACTGAAGCGTCGGACAGCGCGCTCCATACCCGGGGTACACAAAGTGGCTATGACGATGACACTCCCAGTGATCGTCCCGGAGGAATAAGGTACACGTTATGTGACAAGTTGGCACTGTTATCAATCAATATTTTTACTTCCATTAAAAAAGAATTGTCTATGAATGCATAAGAAAACTGATGATGCCCTCATGGGTGAACATTTGGAAGATATCGAACTGGTGTAGCCAAGGGCTGGAGAAGGTTAATGAAATTCAGTCGCGTCACTCAGGTGCGCGCCGGGCGTTGCGCAGCCCTAGACCTGTGAACACTGGGCTGTGAAGTGCGGCAAGACGTAAACGTGAGTGGCGCTACGGGATTTCATTGAGCAGCACTGTACTATCGTAAATGCGCACACTTGCATGAAAATTGAAGCTCGTCTTTTTGGTGAAGCATATGCCACACTCGTCGACGGGCGAAGTAGCAAAACTGCTCAACGCTTTGCGCAGATCTAGGATGTACCGTAAAAAGCACCAATATTCGTTATGTGCTTGAGTTCGTTCATTTCGTTAGGTGTCTCAAGGGTTAGTAAATCAACCGAACAGGCGTGCATGTGTGTGCATGGAATGTGCAAGTCAGTGGCACCACATGGTTTCTCAGCCTACCAGAATTTCATTCCTTACGATCGGATGTGCCCTAAACCGCTTTCTAATGAAATGCTTTGCTATTAGGGACCGTCCGCAAACACCGACGTTTTCCGAAAAACAACTTGTGATTTCTCATCCCTCTCCCAACGAAGACACGTGTCAATCTTTTTCCACAACCCATCGATATTTTCTCAGCTCACTGATGAAGCGTACAGCACTTTTACACTCCCCCCTTCCCCCTCCCCCTCCCCCCCCCCCCCCCCCCCCCCTCCTTACAGACTGTCGTTATTTACACACAACACAATTAGACTACAGTCAACTTCGCTAATAACGACAGAGCAAAGTCCCATCTAACTGTATACATTTAACTTTGGGTGTAACGTCTACTAGTATCTGAGTAACGACAATTCGCGAATAGCGACATGATTTTAGTGCCCCGAGGTCAAATTCACTGCTTGAGTAACGACTTTCTGGGCTTTTCACAGCTATTCAAGTACCTGTCATGCAGAAGTACCAGAACACATGGCGATGGATAACGGCACACATGCAAGAAGATGCAGCCAAGGGGGGGGGGGGGGGCTTTTTTCTTTCCTTTTTCTTTTCCTTCAAAATAGTTGGAGTGATCAGCACACCTACATGTAGTTGTACAGTCATGATTGTACAGTTAAGTATCATCATACATTGTACGTGATTGTACAGTTAAAGGGGAAGTATACCCTAAAATCAAATTTTCACCAGTTGTAGTCTTCGGGGTGCTGAGTCGAATGGTCTTGGTCCGAGGAAGCTGAGACGCTCCCTTCCTACTTGAATCCCAATCGAACTCGCGCACTTCCACCGAAACTGGGTGACTGCGCCCTACTAGATGGGGATTTGTATGCAAAATGTCACTAAAAGCGCCATTTCGTTCTTATAAAAGCACGGATGACCGCGATTGGCCCATATGTTGTAGTCTTTTGGACGCTGAGTCGACTGGTTTTGGTCCGAAAAGGCTGCGATGCAGCGTTCCTCCTTTATTCCCAATCGAACATGGTTGAACAAGCGGTCACGTGCTCCTGCGTACACCAGTCACCTGGTCACCGTGCCTGCAGGGTACAACTTACTAGCCTGTTTGACCTTTTTTGGGTGCAGTCCTGTCACTCGAGTTGAACCTTGGTGTGAAAATTGTCGCCTGCTGGCGCGGTGACCAGGTGATTTGGGCAACCAGGACCACGTGACCGCTTCTTCAACCATGTTCGATTGGGAATAAAGGAGGAACGCTGCATCGCAGCCTTTTCGGACCAAAACCAGTCGACTCAGCGTCCAAAAGACTACAACATATGGGCCAATCGCGGTCATCCGTGCTTTTATAAGAACGAAATGGCGCTTTTAGTGACATTTTGCATACAAATCCCCATCTAGTAGGGCGCAGTCACCCAGTTTCGGTGGAAGTGCGCGAGTTCGATTGGGATTCAAGTAGGAAGGGAGCGTCGCAGCTTTCTCGGACTAAGACCATTCGACTCAGCACCCCGAAGACTACAACTGGTGAAAATTTGATTTTAGGGTATACTTCCCCTTTAAGTATCATCATACATTGTACGTGATTGTACAGTTAAGTATCATCATACATTGTACATGATTGTACAGTTAAGTATCATCATACATTGTACGTGATTGTACAGTTAAGTATCATCATACATTGTACATGATTGTACAGTTAAGTATCATCATACATTGTACATGATTGTACAGTTAAAGGGGAAGTTAAGGCAAAAATTAAAATTTCACCAGTTGTAGTCTTCGGGGTGCTGAGTCGAATGGTCGTGGTCCGAGGAAGCTGAGACGCTCCCTTCCTACTTGAATCCCAATCGAACTCGCGCACTTCCACCGAAACTGGGTGACTGCGCCCTACTAGATGGGGATTTGTATGCAAAATGTCACAAAAAGCGCCATTTCGTTCTTATAAAAGCATGGATGACCGCGATTGGCCCATATGTTGTAGTCTTTTGGATGCTGAGTCGATTGGTTTTGGTCCGAAAAGGCTGCGATGCAGCGTTCCTCCTTTATTCCCAATCGAACATGGTTGAACAAGCGGTCACGTGCTCCTGCGTACGCCAGTCACCTGGTCACCGTGCCTGCAGGGTACAACTTACTAGCCTGTTTGACCTTTTTTGGGTGCAATCCTGTCACTCGAGTTGAACTCGAGTTGAACCTTGGTGTGAAAGTTCTCGCCTGCTGGCGTGGTGACCAGGTGATTTGGGCACCCAGGAGCACGTGACCGCTTGTTCAACCATGTTCGATTGGGAATAAAGGAGGAACGCTGCATCGCAGCCTTTTCGGACCAAAACCAGTCGACTCAGCGTCCAAAAGACTACAACATATGGGCCAATCGCGGTCATCCGTGCTTTTATAAGAACGAAACGGCGCTTTTAGTGACATTTTGCATACAAATCCCCATCTAGTAGGGCGCAGTCACCCAGTTTCGGTGGAAGTGCGCGAGTTCGATTGGGATTCAAGTAGGAAGGGAGCGTCTCAGCTTCCTCGGACCACGACCATTCGACTCAGCACCCCGAAGACTACAACTGGTGAAATTTTAATTTTTGCCTTAACTTCCCCTTTAAGTATCATCATACATTGTACGTGATTGTACAGTTAAGTATCATCATACATTGTACGTGATTGTACAGTTAAGTATCATCATACATTGTACATGATTGTACAGTTAAGTATCATCATACATTGTACATGATTGTACAGTTAAGTATCATCATACATTGTACGTGATTGTACAGTTAAGTATCATCATACATTGTACATGATTGTACATGTCCCTGTAGATGGCTCCAAAAGGCTAATTTTTAAATGTATTTGCCCTGAATATTGACTTTATAGTTCCTTTCAATTGCAATATGAAAATAAAGTACACATTGAATGCAGCATGAGAAGACTAAAAAGAACTTCATTTTGATAATGCATGTCATACTATACCAAATGTGGGTTCACATACATTCAAATGGGACTTCGGGTACATGTATAAGGACGCTTCGCGAATAAGGACTTTTCTGATGCCCCGCCAAGTGTCGTTATTCGCAAAGTTGACTGTATACATGTATATTCCTGCATCATGTATACGAGTGGACAGAGGAAGAATTCTGCTGTGTATGAGTACAGTAATCCCATGATGTATTCGAAGAGAATGTAAACAATGTCATGTAAATGTGTGTGTGGGGGGGGGATCAAGTACCGTTCTCTTCATCAATGAATTACGCACAGCTTGATGACAGACCCTCTCACTCACCATGGTGAAGTTCTAGCCACCTGAAAGAGTTGGCATCTCAGCCCCAGAAAGCTGGACTAGCTGAAAAGGCAGATTCACACACACACACCACACACACACCACACACACACACACACACACGTATACACACACACGTATGCACACACGCATTATAGTAGGCATATTTGTGGAGAGTTTGTTTTCGTGTGTACTGACTCGTCTGGCAGACACTTCACAGTAGTAGGTGTGCGACTATGCCCGGCATTACTGTAAGACTATGCCATTACTGTAAGACCACATGTTTTAACGTCAATTAAAGTTAACGATCTCTGGATTTTTGTTGGTTAGCGAGGTGCAATTTTAACGAATTTTAACAGGCAAAACCGGTCAATGACAGTGCATGTACATGGTAATATACATATACATAAACGACTTCAAAATTGTTTAAATTCGAGAATCAAGTGTTCACTGGTTTGAGGGAAAGGCACATCAAGTGTCGTTAACATTAACGATCTTACAGAATTCTCATTCCACTTTCTCTTTTTTTATAATGTTGCTCGTGGTTCATGCAGTAACTTTGAGGCCTTTTTGCATATCGTGAAGGGCAACATCGGAACTGGACTTCTAGGCTTGCCATTTGCCTTCAAGTATGCTGGCTTTGCGGTGAGGATGCACTCTTTTGGAGTCTTTTGTGATATTCATTATAATATGTCCATACATGTTGTAACGGTGATTTTCTAGAGAAAACAGTATGCATGGTCTTAAACTAGAATGTACTGATGCATGGCCGTGCGTCTCACCGTGCATAACATCATACCTTTGGCTAGAGGCACGGAGGAATTTTATATACCGGTAACCCGTTCGCTGTGGCACAAGTCTATGCGAATGAGCTGATTCTGGAAATTTCGCTATTTTACCCAAGAACGTTGTTTACTATTGGCAGGTGTCATGACAATTTCAACATGTAAATACAGGACTCTAGTCAAAAGATGGTCGGAGGACATGGCACCCTCAAAGTATGGCGGTGCACCCTCCGGGGAAGAAGGGCCACCCTCGTGCGCGGAATAGTACTGCGCTGGATGAGGAGCTGCTTGCACCGTGGTGTCAGTTTATGCCGCCCGCGCCCATGCTTCCAGCCAGATTGAGCCCGTTGAGCGTGTCGAAAATGGGCGGAGACGCAGGGCTCAGCCTGTGCTACCTTTGGTGGAGGATTGGATAGGAGAAACAATAATATTATTAGTAGGAGTCCTGGTGATCTATTATGAGTCCAGCAGTGATGCCATTTATTCCGTGCGATGAGATCTGGATGAAACCCTGATATGGCGCCTTTTTTCATTGTGCTTTTGCCACGTATTTTGGTTGTCCTTTCATGCTGCAGGTTGGGATTTGCAGCATGGTGTTTGTGGCCTGTGTGGCAACAACATGCATGCAGATGCTTGTCCGCTGCAGTCACCGGTTATGCCGATTGTAAGGAACTGTACTGCTCTGTGAACTATATTTTTAAAGGGCATGTACAGATGTGTCAAAATCAGTCAAATACATTGAATGTATACTGGTACTGTACAATCATGTACATGTAGCTGCTAATGATGTACTTCACAGTACTGCTATGCACCTTGAAGAATATAATTGTGTGTCGGTGGTCTTACCCTATGCTCTTTTGCAGGTATAAGAAGGACACGCTCGATTATGCCGGTGTGGGAGAGTTTGCAATTGAGTTATGGGCACCGAATAGAGGGTGGAGTAAATACAGCAAGTGAGTTTAAAACTGTATTTGTAGTATACTGCATTTCCTCCTCTCCCCCCCCCCCCCCCCCCCCCCCCCTCCCAACCATCAGACCCGCACATGCACCATCTTGAACTAACACAAAGCCTGAGCAAAGTCCTGAAGAAAAATGTTCAGTATCAAACCAAATTTACTTGAAGTAATTATTTTAAGGGAGTCTGATGGTCAGTATCTGTAGTCTAGAAATGCACACAGTACATGTACATACACTGTAGTCTAGATGGTAGCATTACTACAGTAAACAATCTAACACAAGATACATGTTGTGCTCGCTGTTGTTCCTTGTTCTGCGTGCAACGTTGCACAAGGACCTACTCTGCTGGGTTTCTTCTGCATGCCGGGCGCGCATGGCCTTGCACATATCCTATAGCTGCAGAAACACGTCATGGATTTAATCTTCGGCTTCCTTTTGCCGCAACCCCAGTCACTCAGTTTTAGATCTTCTGCTGTAAAAAATGTTTTTTAGAGCATGGTCCCGGGGGAGGCAAGCAAACTTAGTCAAGGTGTCACCTAGAGGCCATGCATGTTAAGAATAAGAGTCACCAATGTCACAGCATCTCGGCTTGAATATATTTTCTCCAGATAGTCTAATTTCCGTCTCGAAACCGCAATGATGAAGGTTCACGAACAAACTTGCTCGCAACCTCGCAGTAATGGTCGAACTGTGGCAATTGCTGTGGTTATTTTGGTGCTTGACATGGCTTGTTCTGGCCACTGCTCTTCTTCCAGGTTCATTGTGAATCTCTTCCTGTGCCTGACGCAAGTAGGATTCTGTTGTGTGTACTACCTCTTCGTCGGTGCTAACCTGCAGGCGGTAAGATCATGTGGCTCCATATGGAAGACATGTTGGAACAGTGCAGAGGAAATTCTTGCCCTGTGCATTTTACGTCCACCATGTTCTCACCGCCATGTCTACTCTTGATTTCATCATACCATTTACTAAGCACTGATTATTGTGCTGGATTTGAAGTGTCTGGACTAATTTTAATAGTTCAAGTCTGACATGTCAGAGTTTCCGATACATGTACTATAACACTGTATTGATATCTTGAAGGCTGAACTCATGATAGTGAACAACCTTTTGGAGACAAGAACCTTATAACTGCTAGGGAAACTAAGATTACACTGAGGCTATCATTTAGTTCCTTTTTCACTGTATGCACTTTTTCCCTTTTTTATTGGCCATACAACACAGGTATTTCGCTCATGTGGCGTGCATGCGCACCTAACGGAAATGGTAGCTGTGCTGGCGCCGCTGTTCATGCTCGGTGCGATGATCCGTGATCTGAAGACGCTGGCGATTTTCTCCGGCATTGCTAATCTCCTGCAAGTCATCTGCATTGTGATCATCATGGTCTTCATTGGCATCCGCGGCTTTCCCCACTGGCATGACGTGCACCTGGTGCCGGAGAAGGCCACCGACATTGCGCTCTTCTTCGGCCTGTCCATGTTCTCCTTGGAGGGTATTGGTGTGGTAAGCAGCAGTCCTTGGGTGTTCGTTTCAAAATTCCATTTCTATCGGTATAGTCTTTTGGTGACATGTGTTACATACTAGCACAATGCTCACTATAATTATATGTACTGCATTCTGCCTGGCCAGCAGGCTATAACTACAATGGAGCCCACTTTTAAGTGTAAAGCACGAATGTTTGGGGGCTCTCATTTATCAGGGATGCATGCTGTATTTGTGATGAGCGAGGCTAACCATGCAGGAGGGCTGAACATTGTTCAATTCTCCCAGTCTTCACGACCAGCAATTTCGCACACAATGACGCTTTTCATTTTTACTGGTTTCATACGTGGCAGATATCACCAGGAGAGACTAGAATGGGTCACTGTTTCATAGGGCTTACCATTTTCTTTGCATGTATTATCTTGTCATCTTCCAGATTCTTCCACTGGAGAATGATGTTGGGAAGCCCAGTAACTTCCGACGGGTTATTTTCACGTCTATGTCGGTTGTATCCGCAAACTACATCTTCATGGGTGCTATTGGTTATGCCTGCTTTCCGAATGAAATCCTGGGCAGCATTACCCTAAACTTGCCAGAGGATCCTGTAGCCAAGAACATGTAAGATATGGCATTCATCTCCACTGGGTGCTCCGGTGGCTGTGTTGCCGTTGATGTTGCTTGTGGTCTTTGGTGTGGGCATCATTATCTATGTATTCGTGTCATTGGCGCGACAGTAGACCAGCGCAAGCTACTCTTTGTTGCTACTTGTCATTTTGCTTTATACTGTTTATGTACTGGTGGTGCTTTTGACTTGAGAATGTACTGGATATAGTGGAACGGCATGTAAGGTTACTAAGGGTGAGATAGCTGATGGGAACCGTCACCCAATGCAAAGTTCAGAACATCAAGACGTAGACGGAAGTGCCTCTAACAAGGGCATGTGCCATCTCGCTCTGGATAGATACTCTCCTTTAGTGCCATGCTTCCGTAGGTGATGGCTGGTCTTGAGGCTGTTGTAAACTACCATTGCTGCACGCGCCCGCGCTTGCATGTATGCGCGCGTGTATGTTTGATGGCATATTGTGCTCCTGGTGCAGCCCGTACATCTACACGAAGATCTTCTACGCCGGTTCCATCTTCCTCTCCTTCTTCCTGCAATTCTACGTAGCAGCTGACATTCTTGAGCCGAGGATCATGAGGCCGTTCACAGGCCGTCGTCGTACTCTCTCCAGTCTGGTCTTCCGCATCGTTTTAGTCATTTTCGCTGGTAAGTCTCCTGTTCTCTGTCCGTTCTCTGGTGTCAGTTGAAAGTTTACCGCTCCTTCAGGAGCTGTTCTTTGGTGTCGTTTGAGACTATACCGTTCCTTCAGGAGGTTTGTACTCACCTCATTCTCTGGGGCGTGAAGCGATCTTCGATACTCCTTTCTCTTTTCTTTTCGTCGATTTGGCATATTGTGGCGTATTGTGCCCCACCATCACCTTTATCATGCGACAAATGTGAGGTTGCTGCAACGGCAGGCTTGACTAGACACCACATGCATTCGCACATTTGCACGCATCCTCAGTTTGGTCCAAAGAAGCAACATGATGTCGTGTGTACTTCTCTCCAGACCAGTCATGATTTGTGACTGCATGCTGTAGTCAACAAATATTCGGTGCGTATTTATTTTCGGCCTGGGCATTTTTGACCGAAAATTTGTTGCGGCCGAAATTTTGTTTTGCACGCTTCAGTGTGACAGTGTACACAGGCAGCAGCAGTAGCAGTACAGGCCGAAGTTTGGATGCGGCCGAAATGTGTTTTAGCCCTGAGAGGCCGAAATTTAAACGGGCTGAAAATTTGTATGCTCCCTGTACACGTATACTGACATGTACATCCTCTGTGTGTTGGGTGGCAGGCGGAATGGCACTCGGTGTGCCGGATCTTGGCCTGTTCATCTCGCTGGTGGGTGCGTTTGGCAGCAGCATGCTGGCTATGACCTTTCCACCTCTGCTGTACTCGCTCGTGTTCTGGGATGAGATCGGGCCAGTCCAGCTGACCGTCAACTGCATACTGTCCACTATCGGTATTGTTGGAATGATCGTCGGCACGTATGCTACCATCGAGCAACTTATCCAGGCCTTTGATAACTCGCCGACGCCAACTCCCGCAACTCTGTCCCCGAGTTCCATTGCGTCACTTTCCTGGTAAACATGCTCTCTTTTACTTCATGATGACTTCTAATTTCTTTCTTTTTGACATTAGTTTTGGCTCCATTTAGAGTACAACAACTGTAGCCTGTACTAAAGCTTTTAAATCCTCTAAGGCCACAACACTGTAGGTAGGTTTGCCACATAGGAATTTCACACTCCACTGCAAGTGCTTTGTAACGTTATTTTACGCGAGCATTTCTGCATGCACACACATGCATGCAGACACCCACACCCACACACACACTCTCTCTCACACACACACACACACATACACACACACACACACACACACACACACACACACTTATGCATGCACGTGCACGCTACTTAATGCTCTGTATGGAGCAGACCGGTTCCTTCTTACAACTCCCAGACTGGTGTCACTCAGTCATGTTTCTGGTGTCTTTGACATTTTTGAAGCTCTCCTTTATTACAACATATAATTTATATTGCTGGTGAAGGACAGGTAGTTTATATGTTGCTCAGTGCTGGAACTGTATACTAATATTGATCATTACATGTAACGTTAACTTGTTTTTCTTTCTCGAACTTTGACAGCCTTTTTCGTACACCTTGAGTGGTGTTTCTTGTATTGGACAGTAGGATCATTTTGCGATTGAATTTCCGCTTTACCATCTTAGTATTTTGAATACGGGCCAGGTGCCCTCTCTGCTGTTCAGATGTGCCATGATACATGTATTATTTTGTGCTGCAGCCCTGCTGTGCACGATTGCTCAGTATTCTATTGGGTAGAATATTTCCAAGTGCAAAACTGCTACTTGTGCTGTGCAGTGCCAGTGGTTCATTGTATGCGTACATATGTACATGTAGTACATGACTGCACTACTCAATGCATGGTCCATCGGTCCTGCTGCTGCTGCACTGTACATGACTGCACTACTCAATGCATGGTCCATCGGTCCTGCTGCTGCTGCACTGTACATGATTGTACTGCATGGGACGGTGTGGTCAATGCTGCTGCTGCTGCTGCTGCCGCCAGCTACGACTGCAGTAGTAACCCAAGGTGTCCGTGGATCTGTTGCTGCTGAGTCAAGTGCCAACTGACTTTCACCTTATGGGTGCGGAACCATTGTGCTGGCCGGATAGTCGACACACCCATTGTGCTGGCTGGATAGTCGACACACCCATTGTGCTGGCCGGATAGTCGACACACCCATTGTGCTGGCCGGATAGTCGACACACCCATTGTGCTGGCCGGATAGTCGACACACCAGGCAAGGCAGTAACAGTTATAGTGAAACCTGTCTAAGACGACCGCTAAAGGGACCTTCGAAACATGGTCTCTGTTACCAGGTGGTCTCCTTATCCAGGGTCATTTGACTGGAAATAGCATCCCTTGGTCCTAACGTTAATTGCAGTGGTCTTCTGGTACAGGTGGTCGCCTTGACAGGTAACGGTAATAAAAAGGTTTTTAGAGCTGCGAATTGCTGTTACCGTAAACCGATTTCTCGCAATCAATGCAATGTGCTACAGTAGTCGCGCGCCCAAGAACGTTGTTTCCAAGGGGTTAGCCTGGGACGTTCTTATTTTTTCTGCAATCTGGCTGCGTTCTTATAGCACGTTCTTAGAAACAATCTGTACTGGATCATATGTATTCCACAAGCTGCCAGAAAACCAACACCGCCGTTCTTAGCTTGAGGCTGTGGTGTTCTTAGAATTTCAGGCTGGACGTTCTTGGGCTCCACGTTCTTCAGCGCGCGACTCTACTGTATAGCATGTCTAGCAATTCTGTATTGTAACAATGTTGCTCAACTTCACCAAAAATCACATGTGCCCGCCCACCTTGTTTCGGACTTGCACGACGGAGTCTGGTGTTTCCATGGCAACTCAGCCACCTGCTAACTTAAAACACCTTATAAATAAAGTGTACCGTATTTCCCCGATTGTAAGTCGCACTCCTATTTCCAGGTCTATATCATAAGTATCGTTTCGGTATACTCACTTCAGTCGTAATCATGCTCGATTGTAAGTCGCACCCCCTTTGTTGGCCCTGAAGTTGAGTGTAAAAAGGTGCGACTTATATTCAGGGAAATACGGTATGTATTATACCAGCCTGTGATAGCTAACTTAGCTCCA